CGCCCATCCGGTCCCTCATCCTCCGCAATCGTCGGCGTATCGTGACGTTGATATTTTTGTCTCTTCTCCATCCTCGGCCCGACTGCGGCAATATACCACACATCCTTTGTCGCGAAGTGATGCACATCCCGCGTGCGCGCGTGGACAGAGTTCGATGTATCGTTTTATCGCGAGTAAACTCGCCCCACATCCTGTAACTCACGTATACGCACGAACACACGCACGGACGCACTTATACACACAACCCTCTGTGCCAGCGCAAGTCCCCGAACATTTTTCTCCGTAAACGAATTAATTCACCCGCGGGTCAAAGCCGAAGGGTCGCTCCCTCCACAAACGGTTCAACTCGAAAACGAGCCATGCACACGCATCGGCTAAAATTCGGCCGACACGCCGGGTGATTTCGCTCGACCTCGCGTTGACCAACGAATGCTCGCAGAATATTCGCGCTCTTTGTGAATTTGTTGTCCATTCTAAATTGTTCTCTGTGTCTCTGTCTTTCTCTCTCTCTATCTCTCACTTTTTCATAGTTAAAATGGGAGGGTATTTTGTGTGTATACACAAATAATTTTGCTCTTTTAGTAAAATCATCGTTGCTACTGCATATTCGTAGTGACAAAAAATTTAGTTGACGTAACTAATTTTATAAATTATTCGTTATCAGAGCAAAAGTAGTTTCGTTGCCAGGATAGAAAAAATTTGTTGAGTGTACTTGCCCTAAGAATCACGTTAATTTGCTATTGATGCAAAATAATGTATCCTTAGCAAATTTATTTGCTGTCGGAGCAAAACTGCAACTGCTTATATAAATCCATCGTAGTTCTTATAGCAAAACAATTTGTAGATTCAGCAAATAGTGATTTGTATTCTTAGCAAATCTTTTTGCTGTCCATATAATAACGGAAAGATTTTGCTAGACTAGCAGAAAATTTGCTGGGTCAGCAAATTATTTTTCTCCGTATATTTATATGTATGGGAAGGAGTGAAGATTCACGGAAGAAAATAAAATAAAATTAATAAGGCTCTCAGATTTATGATTAGATGCAGATGAAGAACGTCAAAAAGGGCCCACGTAAAATGTAAATTGCAAAATTCACTCATAATCTACAAATTAGATATAAAATAGGATATGGAAGGGAATTATTCGAAAATTCTTTGAAGATTAATTCTCATTCTCTAAATTTCTTGGAATAGGATCTCGTTTAAAATGAATGAAAAGCGATAGAATTTTTACTCGAAGCGATAGAGAAAATACTGTCACTTAAAGTCCCACTTGAGGGAATAAATGTTTCACTCAAGTTTATATATAGACTGTGACTAGATATGAACGGATGTTTCGATTGATTAGGGTGAATATGTTCCTATGTAATGGTGTATCATGTCGGATTTGCTTAATTTCAAGTGAAAATATTCATCCCGCAATTCAGAATAGAGAATTCATTCCATATGATTGAAAAATCAACTCAAATTCGGGAAATTCGGATTTCAGAGAACGAATTTATTTTACTTTTTCCGTGAAATTTTATTCCAACACATTTAGAGAGTAGAGTAGTTCTACACCCTTTCTCTCTAGATAGATTTTTATGATTTTTCACGACGTAACGTAATGACGATAGAAACTTTACAATTCTCTCTTTTAATTACATTATTGCAGATATATTTTACATTAAGTTAATCATACATACATTAAGTTAATCGTTAAATATACATCATAGAATAATGTAAATTTTTTATATAATTATGTAAGTCTATATGGGAGAAAAATGCTGTCGAATGGAAAAAAGAGAAAATAGTTGCATTCAATTAAACATTGACTTTACGAAGTGAGCTTATACAGAGAAAAAGTGTTACAGTTTTCTTTCATATAAATTCCTTTCAATTTTTGCAATTGCATTTTTTGAATTGTATTTTCCTCAAGCAATATCGATACAAAAGTTAACACTCGCGAGCGAAACGTCGCGTCCGTCTAGAGCTATCTGTTCCCTGAGAAAAACGTGTTCATGCGAAAAAAGGAGAGGGTTACGTTGGAGAGAGTCGATGCGACATTGTGCACCGTTATTTCCTAGCCGTCGTAGCCGCCCAACACTGTCTACTCTCAGTGTGTTATCCAACTCGCACAATTAGAGGAGTTTCGCGCAGTTACGCATTCACGCAGGTACATATGTACGCACGCAACTGGACCCTCTTTTCTTACGTGCATATGCGTGGCCGTCTCTCTCGTCCAACTAACGTTGACAGTCACGTTATGCATCGCTCACCTCTCCGTCTCTCCCACGGATGTAACTGTTACTGGTGACACGTACAGTTACGAGGCAGAAGAGGTGGACAGGTAAAGAGAGAGAAGGTGAGTGTTATTTACACGTCGCGACGATAATTAGACCGAGATGCTACGCCGAGATTTTACACGCGGAGAATCGTGTCGGGCCAACAACGTGTAGGGAAGATCAGGATTATATGGCCCCAGGTATATTGCTGATATGCGTTTTTATGCGTTAGTATTTATCTTGAGAGGAATAGTGGATACAAAATCGCGATATGGTCTCTTTAGAACATAAATACTTCTTTTTCCCTTGAATTAAAATCGGTATAATATTACAGTTAAGAAATAGAAAAAACTGATTTCGTAATAGCAAAAATTTAATTATTATACTATATTAATATAGCTTCATAAAAACGAAATGTATTAAAACATTGGTTTATTATCAATTTATCAGAGTAAAGCTTAAAGATAATAGCACGAGAATGGTATTAACCTCACGTATTTATTCTCGTTATGAACGTTCGCTAACACTTCCAGTCTATTAATAAAAGTTATACTAACGAAATTAAGAAAACAATTATACAAATATAACAAATAAAAGGTTGTAAAGTCAGAAAGTTTCAAAGCCAACCGCGTTAAACCATCTTTATATAATTAGAAGGCAAAATTTCAATTGAACGCTCTCTTTATACGAGAGCAATAGAGAGTTAAAGAAAAAATCGATAATAATTTTACACTGACGGAATACTGAAGTCACTTAGAAGATGGCTCAACATTGCCCGAAAAAGTGGTTTATTAAAATCGCATTTGCAAGTGGTTTATTTAATCGCATTGATTAAAATCGCATTTTAATATTTAATTTTTGAGTTTTAATCGTTGCAAAAGAATCTGAATTTTCTGACCAACTCAATAATCATGCCTTCCTTGTACACCTTTGTCTCGCAGTGGTGCACTTCCTGGGAATTTCGAAGCATAGAAATGGGCGGGAAACAAGAAACAATGTATAACCATTAGCGAATGCGTAACACGTTGCTATCGAGCGCAGTTGTGGTCTTGGTGTGAAATTACTGCGAAATCGGCCGGGAGGATCGTCTTGGAGCCATTGATCTGGTATTACCGCACTTCCGGTCGCCGTGGATCAGCCGAGCGGCTGGCAATATGAATCATGAGCGAGTCACGTCATGACAAAAACGTTGAGGCATACCGTGTGCGCCACACGTGCGCTTCTGATTCATATATTTTACTTGATCGTGAGTCCAGCATTTCCGGTCGTATCATGCGGGCGACCACCATAGACCCTCATAGGCCTAGCAAATTTCAGATTTGGATTAAATGGAAGTGTCGAATCGCGCGCACAACTGCAACGGCTGCGATTGCTCATCGATATTTCGAGCGTTTTGAGTATTCTGTTACGCGCCAATTCGGCACCAATGGAAGTATTTGGTAAAGAAAAATGAAGAAAATTGAAGAATAAAATAAAACAACTGATGATATAATAATCAAATAGTAAATAACAATAAAATATTATAATTAATCTTCATAGCACGCGCGCTAAAGTCAATTCCGACTTCAACGAATTTTTAATTTTGAATTAGAGGGACAAAGGATTTTTTAAACAAAAATTTATTGTAAGTGGTTGTTCACAAAAATAAATCACAATAGATTTGACAAAATGACAAAATGAAAGTCCAAATTTAACAGACTTAAAAAAATGATGTATTTTTATATATAATTATATTTTTATATAATAAATTTATAACTAAAATTATAAAAATACTTCATCTTTCGAACTGGAGCATATACTTTCGACTATTTCTTTACAACATTCAAATTTTCATTTCACGGACTTAAAAGTATCTTATAATTTTTTCTAGATATTTATTAGTATTCTTATAGGAAATTCAAAGAAGCGATAATGTGTGTGAAGACGACTCCAGTATGCCAGACAAAAGCATGAGGATTAAAACTAATAAAATAAAAATGGTTAAAATAATAACATGAAAATAAAACAGAAGTACTGCAAATAAACGAAAATATTATATACGGTGTGTGAACGCGCGCAGTAAGACGGGAAGAAAATGAAAGGAAAATAAAGGAAAGAAAAATCCATATCGCGGACTCTCCGAATTCGTGACGTTCGCGTTGCACCCTGGGATATTTTCGCGCTATCGGATCGTCACGATCGGCGGAACGCGCGGATCGATAAAATTATCGCTTCGTATCAGTATAGCGCGATTTCTCGCGCGCTTGCATTAAAGCATTACCGCGTAGGTACCCGGGGAGAGCTGATGGCGTGGCGAAATCAGGCCGATGAAACCCGACGAGCATATTTGCGCCGGGACGAGATTTGCAACCGGACACCGCGCGTAGCAACGCGGACGGCGGATGGTCGTGTTTGTATCAAACGCGTGATTCACGGCACAGTGCGGACTTTAGAATTAAGTGGATGCAGTAATGGATTTTCTTCGAAGCGCGATTAAAAGGAGCGTTCCGAGGCTTGCGAGAGCGAATACACCGCGTTTCCTATTCAATTTCCTTTTCTCTTTTCGCGAATAATCTGGCTCTCTCTCTCTCTCTCTCTCTCTCTCTCTCTCTCTTTCTCTTTCTGCCCCTCTCTTTCTCGTGTACGGCTGGCAGGCAAGTTGTTTCGTGCATTTCGCCGTTACCGGCCGGTAATTCGCCAGGTAAATCGCGTCGTTGCGACATGCAATAACGCTGGCGCGGCACATTTTACTTTCAGATCGAGGAACGGCAGCTTCTCCCCTACCATTCCGCGTGCGAATTTCGCGGCGGAACGCCACGCGCGAAACGCGGAAAACGTCGTCGTGGTACATGCGCGCGCGAGCGCGCGCGATCTCGGCCGATGGTGCAATGAGCGGGCGATAGTGTGAGAGTTTTGGATCCAGTCTCGAGCTCAAAGTCGTGTATCAATCAGCCGGAATGGCATCCGTCGCCTGGTGGTTGACCGCAGCGGCTGCTATGCTATCCTTGACGCTGGCTACGAAGACGGTGGCTCTCGAAGGACCGAACATCTGCACGCGGAGAGAAACGTGAGTTGAATCGCGCGAATTTATTATTATTATTACTGAAACAACAGACCAGACAAATGGGTTGAGTCTCAATTGCGGTTCGAGCTAGAGCTCCGTATCAACGGACGAACATTTAAGCGCGTATTATACGTACACTGAGAGAAAAATGTATGATATTTGGAACTATAATGGCATAGTAAAAAGATTATAGTTAGGATTGTAGTTAACTAATTGTAATGCGTTCGTGTCGTGAATCTTGAGTTTTTATTATCACTGAAGAGGGTTCATGGTTGAGCCGAAACGTATGATTGTTTTATATTGATTATTCATGTTCAATAAATATTACACGATTTCCTAACACAAGGAAGGTTTTTTACCCATATGATATATAGCACTATTAGTCCTATGCTTGAACTCGAATTGCCCTTTTTCCTATTTTTTGATTGATATTATAGTTAGGAATATCTTTTTTATAGTAAATGTCATTATAACGTTTGTAATATTTACAATATAAGCATAGTATAACTGACTCATGTAAAACTTTTACCAAGAATTATAATTATTTGAAATAAAAAACATAGTAAGGTAGCAAATATTAAATGGTAAGAGAAATTAACTATTTTATATAGTCAATACAATTGGAATATTTGGAAAATATGGGTATATTTAACTATATTCCCAAAGCGTGCTTTACTATATACATAGAGTAATAAGATGGTGACTATAAATGTGTGTTCATTCTACTACATCTTCGTATTTAGATGAACTATAAATATATGTTTGGGGCCAAAACGAACTATAAAATATAGTGAGATTATAGTTATTCCAACTATTTTTTTTCTCTCAGTGTACATATATGTTTACAGATGCGCATAAAACAATCGCGATTACACGTGCTTTTGAAAACGTGTATTCGTTTGCTAACTTTGAATTCGTTTATTCATGTATTACACACCTTGAAACAGAAACAAGAGTCATTAGAGTCTTTTCTAGCAAACTAAGGGAAGCAATCGGCAGTAACGTCAGACCGCGTGTATATGCTGTTTTCCTTCGCATGACTAGTCATAATCGTGCAAACAGTTGTTCGTGTATTGAAATGTGTATTCAACTTATGTATATAAAGTACTAGCTGAAACTACTGGGTGTTGCTCGGCTTATCACAGAGTGTCAAGGGAACGAAATCAAGAACATAGGATTATCAGCTTTCGTATAACTTATATTCTCCTGGAGAATGACTGTGCAAAATTTAGTCCAGATCAATCAAAGCGTTTAGAAGTTAATAGAGAACGTATAGACATTATTTTTCTTTCTTATATATATATATATATATATATATATATATATATATATATTTATAAAATTATTACTTTTTTATTATAATTTTGAAAACATGAAAAAAACCGATTTTTTCTGTAGATTTCTTCGTTTCTTTCTCAAAGAGATAGAAAAATTCGTTTGGAAAAATTCATACATGTTTTTTTTGAATCTACATTTATTTTTTTCGGTAAAGAAAATAATTGCATATATTTAACTGAAGGTAAATGAACCCAATAAGAAAGCTGTTAGCAGTCTGACGACAGATAGAACGTGACCTATCAATAAATCCGTAGTTATTTGTGTCCGCAACCTGTTGTTCTTCTGTTGATAGAGTTTACAAACAGAATCTGACAACAGATTGTATATATATTTTTGGATTATTCTATTGCAATTTTATATCGATTATATAGTAATCACTATATCATTACGAACGGTGTTTTATATCGTGAATATATTGATTAAAATCTAAAACTCTATAATAACATTCTAATTCTTGTATGTTTTTACTTTACAATCTCTAATTTTAAAATTTGTTTCTTTCTTATTTATGATAATGTTAAATACACAAGAGAAACAAAGAGCAAATCATACATAAGTAAATGAAACTATAGTTTATTCCTCAAATAAAGCAAAATATTTTCTTTTAAAATATCTTTTCTTTAAGTAATAAAAACAGCACTTTTTCTCAAAAAAATTTTTCGGAGAAAAACCGTCTTTTCCTGTTTCTTCCAGAGATTTAAAAAACTTTTTTAAGACTGTATTTTTCATTTATTTTATATAAATAATTATTAAACACTATATATAAATTATAATGTATATAAATTATAATGTATATAACATGTTTTTATAAACTTAAAATGTTACAATGGAGAGCTGAGCATAAGTGTCATATTTTAATTTATTCGAACACTGGAGGAAGTTTATTCAAACATTGAAACGCAATGAACTCTTGGACCCCAAATAGTTTGCTAAATAGAACTTTGGAATGACATTTCGAGGGTCTCACGATGACGGCTGTCGTCACGGTCGTTTAATCCGCTCGGATCGTTAATAATCAGTAAATATCTTTTTCAGCTATTCGGTAACGGTGAAAGTCACTGAGAAGGAACCCTACACAGTGAGGGGGTACACGTGGTGTTGGAGGATTCCGCCGAGGTGTTCCAGCTACAAAATTGTCTATAGGACGATATTTAAAACAGAGGTAAGTGTTATCCGAGCCGCTTACAGATAATGAAACATTCTTTAACACATATGCTGTCACTGTTAATACGTGGAATCCGTCACGAACCAACCTGTTGTTATGCAAGAATGCAAAACAGGGACTTAATTTATGCGAGTAAAGAATAAAGAATTATCGCCGTTACACATACGTGGCCTCGGTCTTTCCTGAGAATCGGCGAGTCACACGCATGGACGACGCATGATTGGCGAATGTATTAATTTATGAGCAAGTGCTGATTGACTAGGTCAGTTGAAAGTTCGATTCGATTTTTCTGTTGAACTTGATTTCATCGAATTCGAGAGACGAGAACAAATTGTTTACTTTCGGACAATCGCCGTTATAGAAGATCGTTTTCGCTTACATCCTGTGGAAAATATTCATTGTTATTGTCGTGCAAGATGATCAATTTGTCACCGATGGAGATAACAAATTCAACTGTTTCTTGACCGATCTGTCCCAGCAGAAATGATGATGATGTTAATCTCTTGTCTCTGATATTAATACGTCATTAAGACGTCATCAAATTTGAGAAAAAAATACCAAAAAAGTAAAACAACTTTCATATTTTATTTATAAATGTATACTACTATTTATAAATAATAATGGATGCTATTAATATATGTATTCAAGACTAAATTCTTCTATTTAAATAGAGTAAAATCGCTTTAATGAAAAGTTCTTAAGAAAATGTATATTTTCTCACTTGAGAAAGATATTTTCTCAGTATAAAATTATGACGCGTTAGTATAAATGAATTTACCATTTGAGTATCCACCGAATAAATATTTCTCATCTCTTATATACACTTTTCTTTTCAGAATGGGGCAATAATAATATTAAAACAAAACAAAACATTCACATTCAAGTAAAACTTACATTCCAGAATTCCAGAGCAAAAATTATATTGCTCCTCACTTTCATTTCTCATCGCGCGATTAAATTCAAGTAGCATCTGTCGAGAAGGAAAGACGACTTGAATCAGCAAGATTATTATCTCTCAGTGTGTTCTCCGCTTTCGCAGAACTTCACGAAGGAGAGGCCCGTGGAGGAATGTTGCAAAGGCTACACGAGAACCACAAATGGCGATCGTTGCATTCCAATCTGCTCCGAGGACTGCCGTCATGGCACCTGCGTGGCACCCGACTCCTGCAAATGCGAGTCGGGATACGGCGGCCCGCTCTGTGACTACCGTGAGTACACGAGTTCCCGTTTTTATTGTTCTACCGGCACGTAACGATGATAGGAGCGCATTCCATCGGCGGCGATTGCTTTACAGCCAAGCGGCTCTCTACGTTGCGCGTTCGTCGCTCCTTTTGTCGACAGCTTCCACGACGTGATCTATAAAGCTCCTGGTCCTTCTCGATGACGTTGAAGCGAGAAAGTACACGCTCAAAATTCCCGCAAAATACGTTTAAATGAAACCCAGACGGCACAAATGTAACTAAAAATACCTCTGAGAGGTATCCTAAATCCTACACGGAAAAATGAAATGTGATGCACCTAACAAAAATATTTAGTTGTAAGCAAATAGCTGCATCAATCTACATATCTTTGTATGATAGTTATGTGTATGGTTTGATTTACTCACTTTGGTGTGTCAACTACATCAATGAAGTTAATCTGGTTGGCAACCAGAAATTAGTAAGGGGATCATTTTGCATAGACAAGCTAAATATTGATATAGTTGCATTAATCAATGCTATATTGCAAAGCAGCGATGTTAGAAAACAAAAGCAATTTACTACGCGCACAGCTAGAGATGTATACATGTGAAAACTGGTTCTGAGTGTATAAATATACATTTGTAGTTGCCGCGTAATAAGCCGCGTTTGTATTAATCATATATTATCACTGCTGCAACATAAGTAACTCAGCCATTGTTCTTTGGTTACAACAACATAAATAGTTGTTCCATATTTTACTATTGAATCTGGTTGGCACAACCAGATTATTATATGGATCAACCATATTGATTTTTCCGTGTAAAGATGTCTAAAAAGTAGAGTATCTTTTAGACGTCCCTAAAATATCTTTCGGACATTAATGCTGCATGGGAAAGATACGTCCATAAGATGACGCTTGCAATCAATCGAGAAGATTCGCAAAATAGTCCGAGAACTTTCATTTTGCTCTGACAATTATTAATTTACCGTAACATCAATATAACATGCAACACATAAACAGGGTGTCCGTTGGAAAAATGGGGCAGAGATTGCGAGATGAATTGCAACTGCCAGAACAATGCCACCTGCGACCCATTCAACGGCAAATGCATGTGCTCGCGCGGCTGGACAGGCGTGCACTGCGAGCAGAAGTGTCCCCCTGACCGCTACGGGCAGAACTGTGCCGAGGAATGTCGCTGCAGGAACAGCGGTAGCTGCCATCATATCTCCGGCGAGTGCCACTGCGCCTCCGGCTACACTGGACCCCTGTGAGTTTGATTCTTTTAAGGGTCGTTAATCACTATATTAAAACGAGAATTGAACAATAACTAATTAACAGAGTGTAAAACCAGGGTGTTGCTCCAATCAATTTAATAAGCAATTGACTGATTCGAGCAAAGTCAGTAATTTTAATAAGTTAATTTAATTTTAATTTGGCTTTTAATTGACTTCATTTTTGTTTATACAACTTTTGACTTGACTAAGTTAATTTTTTTTATAAGTCATTAATCTTTAACTAAAAATTTAGTTAGAAAAATATAACTTAAAAATAGCTAAAATAGCTAAATAAAATATAACTTAAAGTATAACTTAACTTACTCAATCTTTACTCAAAGTTATACTTGCGACAAATTTTTCAGATTTTTCTATTTCGCGTACACTTAAAAGCACAACATTTCTAAGAAGCAAATACTTGAATATTTATTTGTGAGATATAAAGTTTACTCATAGGAACAATTTTAATTTGGCTTTTAATTAACTTCATTTTTGTTTATACAACTTTTGACTTGACTAAGTTAATTTTTTTTATAAGTCATTAATCTTTAACTAAAAATTTAGTTAGAAAAATATAACTTAAAAATAACTAAAATAACTAAATAAAATATAACTTAATTTATTCAATCTTTATTCAAAGTTATATTTGCGACAAATTTTTCAGATTTTTCTACTTCGTGTACACTCAAAAGCACAACATTTTCAAGAAGCAAATACTTGAATATTTATTTGTGAGATATAAAGTTTACTCATAGAAACAAATTATACTTCACAGAGATACGCTTTATATTCCTCAAACAAGTTGTCAAGTATTTTTTTATGTCTACACACATTAGATGAACACATTTATACAAACATTTAACTCTAAAAGCGACACAATAATTATTGAATCTCACTGAGCCAGTGCGCCAAATTAAGTAGCAAAATGAAATGGATCAACGAAGATTTAACTTTCTAATCAACGGTGCCTGCAGATGCGACGATTTGTGCCCGCGGGGGAAGCACGGCGAGGAATGCAAGTCCGAGTGCCGCTGTCAGAACGGCGGTTCCTGCATCCCCACGACCGGCGACTGCGACTGCACGCCCGGATGGATGGTACGTGATATTTTGCGTTTTGCCTGAACACACACAGCACAACGTCTAAAATCGGGACATAAGAGGTCTGGCATCTTAAAAACGTCTCTCAGACGTCGGAATGTAAGATGTTCCTAAGATGTCTTTAATACGACTTACGTCCCGATTTTAGACTTTGTGTTGTATGGGAATCCAGCGCGATTCTCCGTGCCTATTAATTCGTCGCGCTCGACGTTGCTCCGCAGGGTAAGGTTTGTGCGCATCGTTGCCCGGAAGGTTTCTGGGGTAAGAATTGTTCTCGTAGCTGCGATTGCTACAACGAAGCCGGCTGCGATCACATCACAGGCGAGTGTCAGTGCAAACCGGGCTTCTACGGTGACAAGGTAAATATTGATTCGACAGCAAACACTGTTAATTATGTTTTATATGCAATCATCATTATTTCTACGTAATAAAGTTGTACAAATTGACACGACAGTGTGCAAATGGCAAGAGTAAGGTTGTCAAAATGAAGCATTTTTAATCAAAATTAATGCTAAATTTTAATTAATTATTTATACAAAATATTTTATTTAAGATATTTAAGATCTTATTTATCTTATTTACTTTGTTTTTACAAAAAAACATGCCTAATGTAAGTGTTTTATTTTCATAAAAAGTATTCCTAAGATCGTAATTCATCTGTAAAATGTGACATATGACCATCTTATACTGAAAAATAGCTGATATAATATTTTTTGAGTGACTGCACCGCAAACGTATTTACATATCATAAGGGGTTAATCCTCTTCTTTCTCTCAACTCGCGACAGTGCCTGAAGATCTGCCCGGAAGGGACGTTCGGGCTGAATTGCTCCAAGAATTGTAGCTGTGAGAACGGCGCTACCTGTTTCCCTGTAAACGGTACCTGCATCTGCGGTCGAGGCTGGGTAGGCCAGATGTGCAACTTGCGCGCCTGCGAAGATGGTCTGTACGGTCTCGGCTGTGCACAAGTGAGTTATCGGGTCTTCTCCTATTCTCCGTATCCTGTATCTATGGATTGGAAACTGAGGATTGTGGATTGAAGATTGGAACTTGGCCAATTAGAGCAAGCCAAGACCAAAGTTTGTTGATTCGTCAAAATCAAATCTCAAAACCATAATCCTCAATTTCCAATCCCTAGTCTGAACGGTCTTTAGACAACTTCCGCGATCGACTGATCAAGCTGAGGTGTGACGTTTGCTCCGCGTAGGTGTGCCAATGTGAGGAGGAAAACGCGGAATCCTGTCATCCTTGGACAGGCAAATGCTCCTGTAAGATAGGCTGGGATGGCGAGAACTGCGGCAGGCCGTGTCCACTCTACACGTACGGCAAGAAGTGCCAGAATCGCTGCTACTGCAAGAACAACGCGCAGTGCTCGCCGGTGGACGGTGCTTGCATCTGTGCGGCTGGCTACCGCGGCAAGGACTGCAGCGAACTGTGTCCGGCGAACACGTTCGGCGAGGACTGCGCGCAGAAGTGCGCCTGCAAGAACGGCGCCAGCTGCTCGCCCGAGAACGGGCGCTGCAACTGCACGGCTGGTACGTAATAAACGACGGCTCTCTAGGTCTGTTCTTTTTACCTGAACTGCCTGACCTGATACAAACTGGTGCAACAGCAAAATTAGAGTGAAGCAAAGTATATTTGTTTCGCTCTAACTTATTGCACCAGCGTGCACTAGTTCAGACAGTTCAGCTAAAAGGAACAGACCTCATGTCGTGGGAATTGTCCGACATGGGTCTGTAATTAATCCCTTGGGTCCTGGTTTAATAATGCGATCTTAATATTGTCACTAATAAGTGCTATTTAATGCTCTTTGTTATTAATAATAATGGTATTATTTTATAACGTCAAGTAGATGTGAGTAATGTTTTAAGAGTTTAACTGGAAAAACGGCTTTGTCAGGAGAAAATACAAAAATTCTCTTACGAGAGATTATAAAATCAATGGGGGCATGAAAATTATTTTTTTCTCAAAACAAGTAAACTATCACTATACGAAGAGGATTAGTTTTTCTTTATTTCACATAAATTCTTTTTAATTTTATTGTGTTTTTATTAGCGCAGAAACAGACTGCCAGTAAGGTCTATTTTGCTAAGGAAGATAGTAAACTTCGTTAGAAATATAGTAAACTTTTTAATAGTACATTTCAGTTCAGTCAGATAAATCAAAGTATTCTCATTTTTAGAAATATATATATCGTATTTTTCATACGCCGGGACTCAAAGGGTTAAAAATTGTTCCCAACAATCTCGCGGTAATTCATTAAAGGGCACGAGAGAGGAAGAGAGAAAGCGAGAGAGAGCCTGATCGGCGTTGGCTTTAGGATCACTTCTTGATTCAATTTTAAGAGGAATTCCCGGGTAATTTGCCATATGATTACGTTACTTCCCTTCGGAAGATATTTCGACGTGGCTCGTCGTGTCTGATCGTGTTACTTCTTTTAATTACGTTGCTTCATTTAATCCATTTCCCTGATTTTGCATTTGTACTGCATGCGACAGTGTAGACGATTGGTGGTGTACTCAATATCCCTCGTACTCTCTTGATCGCCGTAGCTCGTCCGTAGAATTCATTTACAGTAGCAATGTGTAGCAGATATAAACTAAATTCCTTACCATTACAATACTATCGCGACACCTCTCTCGACGTGCTCGCAACTAGAGAAAGAGAGAGAGAGAAAGAGAGAGAAAGAGAGAAAGATAGCCGATATCGGTAAGTACGAAGATCGGTAAGTAACGTGTCTCTGATGACGTTTTGCCAGGATGGGCCGGTGTACTGTGCGATCGTCCGTGCGATGACACGTCCTACGGCAAGGATTGCGAGAACAAGTGCGAGTGCTTTAACAATGCTGCCTGCAATCCGCAAAACGGTAAGGTGGTCGGTTAACGATTCTGTTCCTGTCTTTGCGATAAATCTGTCAACACGTCGAGTTTCTCTCGAATGCCGGTATTGTGTTAGGTGGCTGCAAAAGGTTTGTCATATCTGTTAAATAAAATAGGAAACAAAATTATCCAGTTTCGAAGGACAACACTGATTAGCAGATCATTTGTCGCATGGAATTTCCGATGCGCTTGTTATATATTTTTACGCGTATACCGAGAGAAATTATTCGCGATAAAAATTTAACAAATGGATATTTCCTAAAATAAAATTTTTTTCTAGAATAATATACAAGATATTATTAAAACTGATGTACTTCTTTATTTTTGAAAGAGACATATAAATCAAACACAGCGAGAAATCAATAGCTTTTATATTTTAAATTAGATAAGCCATCTACATATACTCGTATACACACATATCTGTATATACAAGGAGAATTAATTCTCTTGAAACTTAAAAATCACTTAAAAATCACATCACTGAAGAATCCTGGGTGATGGGAAAAAAACTATTTACATTTTTTTAAAGGTTAAACCACATAATTTAATAATTGATGTTTGATGAAAACTAGTTTTTTTTATATCAGTGAAACTTTTATGAAAACAGCGACAAGATATTTATTTAGTCATATAATGAAGACTTTATTTTCTCTTTGATGCCGAAACTTCCTACGAGAATTTAGTTGAGAAATGACAAATCTTCTGCACCAACCTGATATATCTCACAAAAGCACTTTACGCGAGGAATCCTTATACCTTTATATTTATCTATTCTTCTCTCTGCACTTGCACCGAGAACACCGCGCGTTATCTTATTTATACACACGTAGGCACGTGCACGTGTGCGGCTGGTTTCACCGGCATACTCTGCCAAAATCGTTGTAAAAAGGGCTTCTTCGGGCAAGGATGCAATCAGAGCTGCGACTGCGACGAAGAGAACACCGTGGATTGCGACCCAGCAACCGGACATTGCAACTGCAAGCCAGAATGGCGAGGTTTGTCGAATTCGTGCTCGTGTTTGCTTACGATTTTATCATTTTATTTTATCGTTTTGTAAAAAGAAAGGAATAGCTTTTTGAGACGCAACCATTCTCTGTAGTTGTCAGAATTCGAGAAAATTTTTCCTTAAAAAAATTCTTCCTGTAGAATATTAGATTATTTTTACACAAATAATAGTAGTCGACTATTGTGATAGTAGCTGTTCAAAACAAAGGTCACGTCCTTTGTCGGTTTGTGAGAAGTAATATCGTAAAGAAAGAAAGGAACGGTAAATTGAGTCGTAAGGAGGCCGCTTTAAAACGCGGCGGGCGGAAGATCCTGTCTCGAAACGGGTTTTGCTTTGACGTGAAAACAGGAGTTCGATGCGAAACAGAATGCCCGGAGGGTTTTTACGGTCCCAATTGCCACTTGCAATGCGACTGCATGAACAATAGCTCGTGCGACCCGACGACCGGCCGTTGCGTCTGCGCCAGGGGCTGGGAAGGAAACGACTGTTCACAACCCTGCAAGGAAGGATGGTATGGCCTGGGATGCAAGCAGAAGTGCCCGCAGAAGATGAACGGTAAACTGACCGTATTCTTGAAAAATGTCGCGTACGATATTTCGGTGAAAGGCTATAGTATACATGAATGCAGCTTTTCATAGAAATATCGTATGCGATATTTTTCGAAAATAAGGCCCCAAACTCGCTCCTTAGACCCAACACAGCCTGTTCTGAGTGTATTCGTGTGTAACCCAATTAATCAATGTCAAACCGCATGATTGTGTAGAAGATTGATAGCGTTTTACGTAGACTCTGGTAGATTATGTTGCCTTTTTAACGTCTAACACTTAACACTTTTAATTTAATTTCAACGTAATTAATCACATTAAGTTAAGTTGAAATTATTAAGTTGATTATTAAGTTTGTTAAATTAATTTAATTAATTAAGTAAGCCATTAAGTTAAATTGATTAACTTAATTTTTATTTAATTTAATTTTAGTTTGATATAAAAAAAATGATTTAATTAATTAAATTAAATTAATTAAATTATTTTGAATCAAATTAAAATTAAATTAATTATAAATTAGGCTAATTTAATGAATTTAACTTAATATTGCGTACCTAATTTATTAAATTACTTAAATTTGTTGAATTAAGTTAATTAATTTTTTTAATTAAATTGATATTTAGGTGATTAAATTAAGTTAATTTGACTAAATTAATTTGATTCGTTAGAGAAATTTAATTTCTTTATTTCTGAATTACTTTGAATTTAGAACTTAATAAAGTTTGAAATTGTTTGTGTATTTATCACGCTTCACGTGATTGCTGAATTTTGCGAGGCACGAATCGAGACGCTCGGATGCTCGGAACACACATTTAACGTAAGTTTTGCGGTGTATCCTTTCGGATCACATCTTCTCGCACAATGTACATACGTGCACGGTGATGCACATGCCAGAGAGAAAATCATCAAATCAACATTTCCTGCTCATGGCGGTGCAGTAGCATCCGGCTGTAGATAACAAGCTTGGATGTGGGATCTCTCTTACGCATTTCGCGACACGACTAGTACAATTCGCGCTAAAGAAAAGCCGATCGACCGCAGTATTTGCGCAAACACTTACGTAAAACCAGCTATTTCCGTTCTTTCTGTTAATGAACGTTTTTATTATCGCGTGCTTCAGCGAACACTCTCTTATCGTTCATCGTCTTCGCACTATCGTCGAGACCTGATGATTCAAGTGAACGGACGATAAGAGGAATGAGTATCTCAGCGAATAAAATAAGATGGAAAGAACATGCAGAAAAAGGTAAGCAGTGAGTAAATTGATCAGTCACAGTCGGTGATTCTTCTTACGGTCCAACACCCAATAAACACCAATTGACAGTAACGTTATATCAATATTATTATTTTTCATTCAACATGTAATTGTTATGTAATACTCGCGTTACATTGCATTTACATTATTGAGTGAGGAATTACAATATTGATATAATATTACCGATAGTTGATGTTTACTGGGAGAATAATCGATTTTGATTAGAGATGTAAAATTACCGTCAGATTCAAAGTGACGATTACTTACGGTAAAATTACAGTAAAATAGTAACTTATTGGTAATTTAGGTAAAATTTGTTATTTTTTATAGTTTCATGCATAAATATTCGAGTTTTTTGCATAAAATAAGACAATGCTCCTTTTGAGTTTCATACTAAAATTTTTTTATTTTTGCAATTTTTTTCTAAATTACCATTTTACCAGCTTTATTATTTCCAAATTTATCGTAATTTACCGAGTAAGTTAGACTGGGTAATTTTCACCTCTAATCGTGATCAATCGATTTTTTTGCTGCTTACATTTTTCTGTGTGTCCAAACAGATACGACGATATTAAAAGAAGGATCACGATGTTTGCTACCAGCGTCACACATATATGACGCACCGATCTTTCACTTCAAGTTCGTCTTTACTCTAAATTTTCAATTTAATATGTTCGCGTTATTAACGTCACATATGTGGCACAACGACACTTTTTGTTTGTATATCCACATATAAACAAACCAAGTTTGTTTTACACAATGACATAAAAGCAAATGCAATGTGGTTTATGGAGAGAACTCGAGGGTGCGTTTTTCCCTGACAAAGTCTGTCGCTTCTTCTCGCAGGAAACATGACATGCGACCACGTTACCGGTCAGTACGTATGCCGACCAGGATATTTGGGTCTCACCTGCGAACATCCGTGTCCTCCAAAGCGCTTTGGGCTCAACTGCGCGAATCATTGCCATTGCAAGAACGGCGGCGAGTGTCATCATGTGACAGGTAAGTCAAATGCTCTCTCGAGCTTCTCCGCGCGCTCACATCAAGACGCTACTTTTTAATATATTCTATCATATAACTGGTCGTAGTTATGCAAAAATGATCTAACCCACACAAAGTACGTTTCGAGAAAAATGAAAGTAAAAATTTAATATTTGATTTAAAAAAATTTAGATAGCACTAAGATTCTCTCTCTCTCTTCGCAATCGCCCAAAAAGTCAAGTATGATCAATTATCTTCTCCTTGAGGATATTTATGGACAAGTCAAACTCTTGAAAATGGATAAAAAAGACGCAATTAGTAAAATTAATAGTAAAAAAATGGCGCAATTGATAGAAAATAAAAACTGTTTTTAATTCATTTTAAGCGCCCATAAGGCTTCAATCTTTTTTGTTTTATATAGAAAAACGCATGAACTATTCATTGGAATAACAAAAACTTAAATAGTATAATTTTGTAGGTTCTTATTCTTGCATTCTTCTCATTCTTGCATAACTGTGGCCAATTACAATTTAAGCGCTACTTCTTTATAATATAATATTAGAATTTATTCTTTATATTACAATATTAAAATTTCTTTGCTTATTAAAGATTATTACTATTAATATCAATATTAATATCAATATTATTATTATTGTTATTGTTATCATCATCATTATTACCATTATTGTTATTAATTTAATCAAGATTTTTCTGTGTTTCTTGATCAGGTATATGTCAGTGTCCACCAGGCTGGAAAGGAAAGTATTGCCAGACTCCGTGCGAAGACGGCATGTACGGAGTGAATTGCACACAACACTGCAAATGCCAGAACGGCAGCAAGTGCAGATCAAACGACGGTTACTGTCGATGCGCCCCGGGGTGGGCGGGAACGAGATGTACAGAAAGTAAGGAATGTTTCTGAGAGGTTTCGGGCTATACTTTATGATGTAGTTGCGATATAGAATGACATGATAATTTGTCTCGTGTTGCTTTCAGTTTGCCCTGAAGGCTCCTACGGCGATCACTGTATGAAATCGTGCGAGTGCAAGAACGACTTCTTCATATGCCATCCAGCCGAGGGTTGCATGTGCAGGCACGGATACACGGGTGCGTAAGCAATTTATATTGCTTCACTTTGTATAACATAATATTACATAGATCTTTATATTATATATTTTTGTTATATATTACTAATAAAGTATAATTAATAAGGTGTTATTAACAAGGTATAATTAATAAGATATTAATAAGGAATATTAATAAGGTAAGGTAATAAAGTCGCAAAAAAGGAAACTAAAATCAAACTGTGTGTGTTGTGGGATTTATATAACATATAACATATATATATATATATATATGTGTGTGTGTGTGTGTGTGTGTGTGTGTTATATAACATATATTTATATAAATTTATTAAATTAAACTATGATCAAGCTCTTTTCAATGAAAATAATATATTTAAAAAAATAATTTCAGTAAAAATAATGTACTTAAAATAATGATTCAAAACATATTAATAACAAAACTCCGAAGTAACGTGTTCACCTTGCGCAAGAGTGGTGGATCTGAATAACTCAAAGCGATCAATGATCGAATTTTAGGTCCAAACTGCGACGAACAACTGTTCTTCCGAAATGTTCAGGAACAGGGAGGGGGTGGACCCGGACCTGTCATACCAGTCGTGTTTGCGACGATCGTTGTGATTTGTATGGTGCTGGCTGGTTGGATGTATCATCGTCGTAGAGTGACTGACTTGAAAAACGAGATAGCTCAGGTGCAGTATACGGCCGATCCGATACCACCGCCAGGTAAGCAGGCAGTATATCGAGACTGTCGTGTTGAAAATTCATTCAGGATCTTCTAAAGTAAAAGATCTTAAGTGCCATGAAACTTAGAGTGTCGCTCGTCTGCCGTAGAACGAAACCAGTTCGACAACCCGGTCTACGCTTATCAGGGCTGCTCGAAGTTCGACGACGGCACCACCACGCTGCTGAACAACTTCCACTTCCGGAATAATCTTGGTATCAACAAGAACATAAACACCGAGAGGGCCAAGCTAGGCATGAGCAATTGCACTGACGATGAAGACGACTGCAAAGGTATCGTATATTCTCTCCGACAACAACGAATCATTATTTTATTTATTCATATGTTTCTTTTGTACAATGTAACTCAATTTAATTTTTATTTGTCCATCTGTGTTACCTTGTTTAAAAACTCTGATAAGGACTGAAGAAATACGTGCGAAATTCATTGAAATACACTGAGAGAAAAAATATTTATTTAGTGGATGATAACTAATAACATATTTACTTGAATCTAAATTCTTTTGTTTAGTAAGATAGAATTTGTTTAAATTTTATTTATTTAAATAGAATTAACAATTATTTTCATGAAATACAACGGTATTTAGAAAAATATACTTTTTCTCACTTGAAAGAAATTTCTCCTCGTTATAAAAATATGTATATTAGAACGAATTATTAGTATTCTAGATAAACAAAAATACTGAGTATAGCATGCAAATATTTAACAAGTACTTTCAATGATTAAACATATATACTTATATATATTTAATTAAATTTATTAAATTAAATTAAATTTATCATTAGAATAAATAAATAAATATGTATATATATATATATATATATATATATATATTATACTAAACAATTAAATATTTATATCTGAATATAATATGTAACTTTATCATTTTTTATCAAAAGCACGATTCAATTACATAGATGTTTTTTATTTAATTCTATTAAATCTTTTAAGCAAAGTTTTACTTATGCACACTCAAGGATCTTGTAAATAAAGAAAATTATTATAAAAATAAAACGAGAACTCCACTTTGATACAATAGGATTAAACAATTCAATATAATTGCAGGTGCGTTCGGATTGCAATACGATCTAAAGAACAGGGACGCCGATATGGGAAATCCGAACTTGAACGTGTACCACAGCATCGACGAGAACGACGGCAAGAAGATCGAGCACGTCTACGATGAGATCAAGCAGAACAACGAGTCGGAGTACGACGAATTGAGCCACCCACGACCCGTCAGCTGGAAATCGTCGTCGACTTTGAGCAGATCGACCAACGGCTGCCCGCCGACACCGCGCGACTATCCGGGGACCAGCAGGGCGGCGGACAAGGACCCTGAACTGGGCGAAACTTAAGGACGTTTCCGCTACGTTTCCTCGAATTTCTCCGACTGCCCAGGGTTTTGAAGTAGAACGAGCTCAGCGATCTGGGGAGAGGGATGAAATCCCCTCGCCGCAGCTTGCTCGTGGACTGTTCCCCTCGTTTTAAGATCGAGCAAGCTGCTGTGTATTCACTTTTCTCTTCGCGAAGGGATCTCCGACAAGGGACTCAGTGACGTGCGACCTAAAGAGTGTGTTATCGACAGTGCACGATGTTATATTACCGGAAGATGCATCCATATTTAATTAGCAAAATACGTGCAACATCTTACATTATAAGAAAATAATGCCGCGCGTTATACATAACAATATACACACATATATATAACAAGCACAGGCTGAGCCATCTGACGTTAAATCCTAAAATATCTTTGTTGTTTGTTATAGAAAAGACGACCTTGGAACAAATGTTCCGCGCTAATCACAATGTCCTTTTTACTCACACTATTTGTTCCTTACACATTTTCCTTACAAAACAACATAACATACAAAACAACAGAGGTATTTCCGTATCTAACGTTAAGTGTGACTCACTCTGTATATACATAAAATATAAAAGAATATATATATACGTTATATAAAAAAAGAAATCCACTTGTGCGCATTTATATCGTGCGTCTAGCATCTTATAAACTTTCGATGGCAGTATTAAAAAAAAAGAACAAAGAGAAAGGAAACCAATATATCACTTTGCAAGAATCGCGTCAAGAGGGCGGAGAAATCTGTATCGACGAGATCCTTCGCGTCGATTGCGATGCGTTCTCTAATTTTTCGTTTTCGTTGGAAATGTATTTATCGATCTCTTCTACCATTCTCTCGTTTCGTGGTAGATCGCCTTATTGCGATGATTTCGGAAAGGTGAACACATCCCCCTTGTACATACAGACACTGTTTACAATTGTAGTTGTAACTATTAATTTAATTATTGCATGTGTATATTTGTTCGATGCGTATGCACGTTGCCAAAAAGGTCGTAAGAGCAATTTGGCGAGCTGAGAGTGGTGAACGAATGATAGAGAAGACGCT